CCCGCCTCAGCCTCCCAGAGAGCTAGGATTACAGGCGTGAGCCACCGCGCCCGGCCTAGACGTCTGATGTTTTTGTGACAAGGAATATGCCATAGGAACTTAACTCTTGTTTATATCAATTAGCCTGTGGTAAAATAGATTTCGTTGTATGTCTTTTGCTTAAAGTCAGTTTCCAAGAACCTATCCATGACGTTAAGTGAGGACTTACTGTACTTAGTTTTAGATGAGACTTGATGATAATCAGCTTCAATTTTTTGGCAAGATTACATCGCTAGTGGCGGCACATCCTCAGAGTCCTTTGCTGGGTTTATTTTAGTCTGTTTTCTTTTTTGTTGGAGGTCTTTTCCAAATGGTTTGTGCTTCTTGACTGTCCTATACTTAAGTGTCAGCAGCTGAGAAATTAGCTGGAAGCTCCTAGTGTCTGAGCAAGACTTGTGAGTTCATGAACTTTACTTTAGGGTAATCTAGCAACAAGCCTGCTTTTTCATTGATAAGGGGGTGAGGCACAGATACCAGAACCTGTAGGTCTGTTGGTTTTAGCATCTTCTAAGAAGACTTTTCCAGTCTTCTGCCTGAGAGGTACCAGTCTAGCTGCCAGAATTCTGGAGGCAGGGCAGGGAGAGACCCTGCCAGCAGGGTTGGAAGGAGATCTGGAGCTCCAGTTGCTTCCTGTGTAGTCTTTGATTCAATCCCCTCATTTGTGGCCTGTGGCTTCAGTTATGGGAACTTTTCCTTGTTTCTTCCAGTTCTGAGCTCTTCTGGAATTTTGTGTGGCCCGCTTTCCTTTGTTATCCCACTCTGAAGGTTTTCACTTCCTCAAATCTGTTAGGTCAGTTCATTTTCCTGTCTTCTTGCAAAAATCTACGGAAATCTCTCATTTCCAGTGATCTCTTCTCCCATCTCTTTGACTTTATAATTTGTACCCTTTTTATCTTTTAGTATTATCTTAGCAGGTCAGTCTACATGTTTAACTGGGAGTCAACACCTAATTATCTTTGTTTTTCTTGGACTGTATTTTGTATTTGATTATCATTATGTGTATTCCAATTTAGAAGCAAGTTCATGTTCATACGTGTCCTTATTGAGAGCAAACCTACATCCTAGTGTTTCCACTATTTGTGTATCTTCTCTGTGAGGTTACAGACATTGTTTTAGATGCTGGAGATACAGTGGCGAGATCAGATACAACTCCTGTTTTCATGGAACTTATTAATATATTGTAGTAGGGGCCGGGCGCGGTGGCTCACGCCTGTAATCCTAGCACTCTGGGAGGCCGAGGCGGGTGGATTGTTTGAGCTCAGGAGTTCGAGACCAGCCTGA